TCACTAATTAACATAAACATTTATTTACTGTCTTAAGAATTTTTATGTTTTTACAAAAACTGCAATATCGAATTTATTTAGATAATGTGGTTATACTCTGAAAAGTCAGTATACAATTATTGAATTCATTATCATTGAATTGTGGTGTTATATCACATGAGTTTTCCCTCAGTTTCAACATTATCTGTTACACATAAAAATAGTAAGGTAGCTTAATAGTTAATAGATTCATTCTAACTGATAGGTCCCAAACCGAAATCTCGTTCAGTATACTTTGATTTGGGGAACCGATGCATATCACTAACACATATAAACCGATAAGTTCAAACTTCAACATGTTTGTTACATCATAACAAATAAAAATCTAATAACGTAATAGTATTTTTAGTACGTAATATCTAACAGTAATTTTCAGCTATAACGTCGACAAAATTCGAAGGGTGCTGGACAGATATTTAGTCCCAATTGAAGATTTCAAATCATCCTCAGCTTTCAGATCTTAAAGTCTTGTTTTTGGTTATAGCTGCCCATTGTTGACTAATATGATAAAATGAAATAGAGTTATGCTTAGCTATTTAATTTTAAACCGTCCTCAGATTAACATCAATGTCTAGGATAAATAATTATCCAGTTCTACGGAATAACCATAAAATCCCTCAACCTGGAGCTTATAATTTCTCAATTCATAATTATTTCTAAATTCTTTTTCAAAATACATAGTTTTTACAATAAGTTTTTAGGCGGTATCTGTATTGGCTGATGTTACAATCTTGATTGAATAACTGTTTCTGTTTACCACTCAATAAACCTTCACAGTTAACTAGACTGTGAATATCGTTTGCTTGGTTGTTTTTTTCGTGAGACTATAAATTATGGACGGCCTTTGAACGTTGTTAAAATGACATTGAGAATGTCCATTTACTAACTAGGACTAAATCAGGGTTATAAAGTAGTGTGAGAAATTCGAATTATAATTTGCAGTTAATAATTAGGGTGATGAAATAAATTTAACATTTTCATGACAAACACACATCAGCTAAAATGCCAAAATACTATTTAACCAAATAGATGGATGAATTTCACACCAAAATGCAAGACTTGTTATTTTATCTTATCTGATTAGTTTGTCCATCAATTATAGTCTCTCTCTTTGTATTGTTTTGTTTGTTTTTCTTTTCAATTATCATCATTATACTTGTTTTAAATTATAATCAAAAAGTATCATACTCATTTATTTTGTCTTATAGAAATTACAATAAATTAATTCATTATAATATCAATATTATCTTCATGATTATTATTTTTTTATTTATTATTAGTTAATTCAATAATGAGTACAATTGAATATTGTTTAAATTTAATCAGAAATAACATTCAAATAAATTTAATCAGTCAAAATTATGTACATAGTTAACCCTTGTCCATGTTACATAATAATAATGATAATAATGTATTGTTTAAAAAGTTTACATAATACCATTATCATAGTTTAAATGTAATATGTCAATTTATCAGTAATAAATTTTATTTAAAAATACATTTTGAATTAGTAAGATAGATAAGTGATTGCAATTGTAATAATAATAATAATAATAATAGTGATATGCTGATTATATTTTTATTATATGTAATAGTAACATATTTAAGTATGATTTAAATTTATATTCGTTTACATTAATCTAATTAAGGTTAAATGGATATTATTATTGTTAAATGAAACATTAGTCAGTTGTTGTATTTTACCGAGTTATATTTTAACTTGAAATGTAATTTTCATTGCAAATGTCAATGAATTACATATTAACTAAGAGTCTTACTTTTTCTCCAGTTGATAGAACTTAGAAAATGTAGATATGGAATTTAATATAACGGTATATATACATCTAGATTTCCGTGCATTCCTAATCACAATCTCGTTTGTCGTTCGATATTCCATAAAATAATCGTACAGTTCAATTCTGGAAATTATACTGCTTCACTAAATCACTTATTTCTTTCGATTAGATCAAATGAAGTTTTATTTATGCTGGATTATTCATTTAAATCTGTAATAGTAACATATTTAAGTATGATTTAAATTTATATTCGTTTACATTATTCTAATTAAGGTTAAATGGATATTATATTTTTAAATGAAACCTAAGTCAGTTGTTGTATTTTACCGAGTTATATTTTAACTTGAAATGTAATTTTCATTGCAAATGTCAAGGAATTAGATATTAACTAAGAGTCTTACTTTTTCTCCAATTGATAGAACTTAAAAATATAGACCTGGAATTTAATACAATGGTTTAATTAGTATATGCTTGTAATGTAACCTAATGGTTATGTTCAGAGTTGTGTGTGATGTTGTGTACTTACTTCTAACGAGTCAGTAACTTGGATGATCTATCTCCTAAATACTCTCTGGTAATATTGTTTCTCCATGTCAATCTGTGATGATAAGTACTTTAATATTGTATATAAATGTTCACGAAATATGCCATATAATTTTTACAGTAATTTTGCGGAAAAAATGAACAGTATCAGCACAATATATCATTAAATTATATATACGTCTAGATTTCCGTACATTCCTAATCACAATCTCGTTTGTCGTTTGATATTCCATAAATTAACCGTACAGTTCAATTCTGGGAATTATACTGCTTCACTAAATCACTTATTTCTTTCGATTAGATCAAATCAAGTTTTATTTATGCTGGAGCATTCATTTAAATTTGAATACGATTAGTTTTTGTTTCCCTGAATATCGGTTAGATATACTCATGAATCAAGACAATGTTACGGCTTTTGTAAATTCTTAAACCACAAACCGATAAAGATGGATCAATATATTTTATTTTTGATCCTGTCTAGACTTTACTTTTAATCTTGGCTTAAATCGACTGGTGAATTCAGCCATTAACTTACTACGATCTCCACAAACTCCCATTCTCGATAATAATCCAATACTACATGTTACTACAGTGTACTGCTAGTTATCTGATGTAAACCGAATCCCATCAAGAAAGTAGGTTTTAAATCAATAAAAGACGAAATATAATTGAACGTCTTGTTTGATCAAGTGAAGTTTTACAAATTCGAACAGTTTACTTTAGCGCCTAAAACAGAATGGTCATGATGAAGATTTGAAGTCGTTATGGGCAATTTTGGTTTTATTTAGTCCTCTGAACTGGATGATTTAATTGTGACGTTTTGATTGACGTTCTTGACAATATTATCAGTATCTCTTTCCTATGGAATTTAAGAAATGAGCTCTGGTGTTTTTGACAACATCAGTGAGATCTCTATAATTAAACAAATTAGCTTACAGAACTCAACAACACTAAAAACAAGATTAATATTTGAGATGATGACCATGACGGTGGATTCATTCATATTTTTCAGAAATAATATTCTTTTGTGTGAGCTTCCTATTGTTGTTGTCTAAAACAAAATTATCCGTGTTATATCCCGAAGAGAATAATGAAAGCTAACTGTGGGATCTATTTATAGTCCAATACCCTACATATATTCCTATTGTTTAATCGTTAATTAACTAGATTATGTGTATTTATATTCCTCTTATTATAAACTTTATTTTGACCTATAGATTATCATTATATGATTTACTATTCTTAAGTCATGCCTAGTTTATTAATTACAGTCTCCCACAATCACATCCGCTTTTGGCTCGATCTTGTACAAATGTTATTTTTTATTTATGGTGTGATGTGGTCTGTTTGGTTTGTATATAAGCCCAGTATGTTTGAAATATATGGTTAATATCGCGGAGGCTGATATTAGTGTTCTGGATTTAACAGACGGGGAAAAAAGCCACTCGAAACTCTAGGCCGTTCGTTCAGGTGTATGCGTCATTTGTTGGTCGTATAAGTCAGCTTATCTAAATTTGGCAATCGTACTCGCGATAATCGCATAAGTTAAGGACATAACAATCCACAATTTTCTATCACTTGATAAAAGATTTGACTCTTTAAAATCGGTAGTTAAATGTTTAATTTTGATTAGGTTCAACATTCTCAAAGAAATTCATAATCTGATATATTTCTCAATAGATCTGTAAAATTAGATATTCAATTTAAGTAAATTGATTTGTATGCTCCATTGTTTATAGGGTAGATTTAGTAAAATCTAAATTATCAAAGTGTATAACAACTAGGATTAGAGTAAAAAAACTGTTCTAATCATATTTAAAATATCGACCCACAGTTTTTAATTTCTGACTCGATTAATCATCTTTGTATATAATTCAGCTGCTATAGTCATCTGTTTATGGTATAGTAATACGACCTACTTAGTGAAAAACTTGTAGATCATATAATCTATGTTAACTGGTGAGTAGATGAGTTCGATTTTATATGAACGTCATAGAACTTCAGCAATATTTTACCATATGGAATTAAGTTTGATAATCGTACTTAGTACTTTTGACGTGGATAATTAACAAGAACTCTCGTGATTAGCTTTAGTTAGGAAAATAATAATGAGGTGTATTCTCCAGAACATTTCAGAATGTTTATCAATTAGCTTACATTAAAAAGATGAAATTAGTCATATGATAAATAGTTTATTTTCTGAGATCACAACTGTTATCTGACTTTAGAAAAGTAGATGAACTACTTTTGGATCCGTTCAATGATGTGACTATCAAATCGAGCTGTATCATCTTTCAAAATATAGATTTCGATTTGCTGTAATGAAACTATTTCTTTCATCTTATAAACCCACTCTTGTAGTTTGAAATTACGAAAAATTAATTTCAGAATGTATATATGCAGTTGGTATACATCTTTCTAAAATTTCGCAGTGTAGCAATTTCAGCTATATACCTATTTTAATACTTTAAGCATAATAATCACTAATCATTTCAGATTAATAATAACAATAATTTTATCTGTATGGCATTTTCAATTTTGTTGTCTATTTTGTTAACATTATCGGTTGTTTTTTTCCAAGTACTTTTTGTCTGACCGTTTTTTTCTGTCTTTTTCGTTTAGGTAATATACCGACACTTCACGACCTACATTTGAATAATAATCCGAATTTGAATAGTTTACCTGCTGAACTCTCACTATGCGGAAAATTGATTATATTGAATTTAGAAAGTTGTCCATTACGTGCTTTACCTGAACCAATAGTTCAAGGTGGTTCTGCCATGATTATCTATGTAAGTTTTTTTAATAGGTAAACATTTTTATTATTTAAAATGGAATAATTAAATTATCTTGAAATTGGATAAATAGAAAAAACACTAATCTCTATTGTTTGTTGTCTTGTTCATTATGAAATAGGGTTTATTCTTTATTTTACTTTCAAATAACACTTGCCAAAAAATTTGTGATTGTTTCTTTTCTATTTCACTCGCTACTTTATTAACTGGTTCAGTATATGAGTGGGAATGAACAGTAATAAACTTCACTCACTCAATTTCTCTTTGGAAATTTAGTAGTGGTAATATCCGATCTTGAGTTATGGTTACGGTTAATAATTTAAACAACCAAATTGTTATACTTTATCAGTTTAGGGGTTGTAGAGATTGTCAAGTTTTTGATTGAGATCATGAACCGATTGATTTTAGACCACCATTGAGAACCTGGAAGCACTGGACGGCCGTTTTGTCCTATTGTTATACTTTATTTTAATTCATTTTATAATCTACTAACAATGCCATTATTCTCTTGTAATTTCTTTTGGCCCGACCGTTGCTGTTACCTTGACTTGTTGGTTGGGCTTGCCTAACACGATGAACCAATCGGGCTACACCTGCTTGAACATTCGTTCCTCAAGGTCCTACCATGTCAGGCAGGTCGATTGAAAAGTGGTAAGACTAAAATCAGCAAATTCAAGTTCTGAGGGCGAAATCGTACTGCTGACCGTACAAAGGTGTGGCAACAGTAAGGTGTTTCCCTCAGACAACTAGCATGATAGTGATGCTTCCTAACCCAATTTCCTATCCAGGTACCTCTAGAAGAACCCTTCCATGATGTGGGCAACCGGGAAGTGATGACCACCCTTATACTTCTAACAGTGCTGACTGACTGAATATCTTATGTAATTAGTTACTATTTTACAGAGAGAACATATTAGAAATATGAATTATCCTGTTGGTAGTACGTTCATTTTTGATTTTATGTTGTATAGTCGTGATAATTAGAAGTATTTGAATTATTGTAGGAACTAGGAATCCTAGAAATAGCACAGTCTAAGTAAACAGAGCTCGGTGAGCACAAACAAACGTTTTGTATCTCGAATTCGAATCCGGGCAGTTATCAAGTGAAAATGAAATCATTAATTCATACAAACGCCATAATAGTGCATACAATATCCGTGGTACTCATAGTAATGAACCCATTTTTAATAGTATGGGAAAATTATACCTTTAATAATTTTAGTATTTCGTTTTTCTTTAACTATGACGTTTCACTGACCAAGTATTTATTTCCAAGCGACTTTGGTTTATACATAAGCGGAAATGAATCGATTTTGATACAGTAGTTCAACTTACTGTCATGATTGATTATATTAACATTTAACTTGATGGGTTACATCGAGATTATTTTGAGATAAATTAAATTTGTTTGAATTTGAACATCTTGTTCATAATTATCCATTTTGGATCCAGTGAGTGAACTGGTTTCCATCTAATCACCACTACCGCTTTGTTCTATTTCAATACAGTACTTCTGATGTCTTTTCCAAATAGGTGACGTCCGTCACTATATCATCCTTTTTCTATCATTATTTTCTTATCTAAGAATGGAAGACGGTGAACCATAACCGTCCTCACTCCTGGTTAGTAGTTATACAGTTTTGTGGAAGCGATTATTCGATTTGTGCCATAAATAAATCCTTGATTTTACACTTTCTTAAATTAGATTGATCCTATGCTTTCTTACAAGACATCAATAAATACACATACAAGTATGGTCTCAAATTATTTCATTATATTTTTCTGGTGACCAGCTAAAGTCAGGCAGTTTGGTCGCATATTGAGTAATTTTTTGAACCACATCTTAACATTATGGTGTCACCTCATCCACCATGACTTTCAAGAAATGAGGGAAAATAAAATCAATTTTTATGATCTTCGGTTCCAAATGACACAGTAGTACGATATCTGTTGATAAAATTCCAGTTACATGTGCATTTTAAATCCCCAGTCCATCTTTTTTCTTAACCTCGTTATAACTTCTTTTCAATTATTTTTTATACTTAATTGCGGTAATATGATAGTTACCATCATTTTTATAGATTTTTATAAGCTACTTATTAACGACTTTCTATTAGCAACCTCTAGCAGTACATTAAGTTGGATCAGTGAATCTCGTCAATTTCAGAATTAGTGAATCATCAATAACTCATTCCAATAGTGTGTAGGCTTCAACAAGTAACAAAAGATGTCTAAATGTTGATTGACAAAATGCCTACCCAACAACCGTGACCAATTTTGGACAGTGTGTTCATTTCATATAAAAAACTATAAGAAAAGTAACTAGATAGTTTTTCCAAATCTATCATGATAACAAAACTATCACTAACAGGAAACTAATGACCTATGTTTGAACCCAACAAATATATTAATCAGTAGAACAGTGATAGACAGTCTAACTAATCTCCAGCTACTCTACACACCACAGTAGCAGTGTAAATGGTAAATAACTACTAAATTTCCAGTACTAATGAAGTCATGAAACCTGCATCTCCCTTGAAGTGTCAATTAGAAACAAGTACTAACATACTACTTCGGTAAGGGTTTAGATTGATCTGGAGAGCTAAATTTGAATGCTCCATATTAGTGAACTACCATATGAATTATCTACACCAAATGACCTTCATAAAAGCTACCAGCTTTACTTATCACTAACTAACCGTATCGTGATTATGCTGTCGAAAGTAGATTCATCTTTATCTGACTCTTACTTTCCTATTCGAATTTTGAAATATTTAGTGTTCAATGTTCGTTTTCCTTATGGGGCATATAGTAAGCTCGTTAGATGAATTAATCTTCCATTTCTGTTTCCTGGAAGCATTATTAACCTTGACGTACATTCCGTTTAGATATATTAGTTACCAAAGATTTTTCATTTCATAAAAATTTGCCTTCCAATCTAATGGACTGAGTAGTTATAGTAAACATTGAAAATTTTTTATGAATAAACTGGTTATCTAGATAGATTCTTAATTGTTTAGAATTAATAGCTAAACTTTCTAAGAGAATTTGGCATTGATTGCCCATAGTTTGTCTTTTAAAACTAGTTTTAATTTATTTTATTTTTAGTTCCTTCAACAAGTGCTACAGTTACGACGGCAACAAAATATCTTATAAATACTAACAAGTCAACCGATTACATCAAGTTATTTTGTATTCATGCTTTTACTTTGCACTTACACACATAAGTGCCTTATATCTTCCCAACTAACTGTAAGTCAATACAATCTGTATAATGTTATTTTAATTATGGAATATATATATTTCCGAAGTTTAGTTAATTTAGAGAAATATTGGATCAGATGTTACCTTTCGAAAGTGCTCTGCTGTTATTGACGTCTCGGTTTAATATTTTCACTAGTATCCAAACCAAAATCATAATCACTTCATTCACATCGTTATGGAGATGTTTCTAGCTCTCCCAAATGACAATTGACACTCTATTTTTCCACATTTAGTAGATGATTTCTTTGTTAACTCCTAACAATCAAGATGTATTTACCAATTCAGTTGTCGAAGACTTTTTGAACTTGTTCCATTTATGATTCTTCTGAAAGTTTTGCAACAGGTTTTTTTGTGATTTCTTCATAAGATATATATGCTCTTTAAGATAATATTACTTTATACCTCGTTTTCCAGTACTTTGCTAGTAAATCAAAAATAATTTAATCAATTAGACAAAAAAAACTAAAAGCTGATATCCTTTTATGTTTGAAAACTTCAGTCGTCAATAAAAAACACTAATTAGTATGCTTTATCTAAAACGGTGGACTATTTACAGTTTGATATTTTCTCACTGGAATACTTTCATTCTTTTCAAGAATCATATCGACAAGTTGACAGAAATAAGTACATGTTCTTTTGTCATATGTTTTAACTTTGATGAATTCTATTATAATAACTCGGTTCCTAAGATTCCTTTAATTTAATTCATCAATACATGGATTAAGTATAGCCTCTAACTCTTCTAGGGCTGTCTCCAGTCCCAAGCCCGGATAAAAGAGGAGAGTTGGGTGTAGGGTCGGCAACACCATTTCGTAGAAAACAACCTTGCTAAGAAACACTAACCGAAATAAACACTTTGAACCACTTAAACTCTGCTCTTCGAGTTCAAGGAAGAATTCTGACACCTCATGATGAAAACGGAGATTCTTCTGAAGTCACGAAGCCAATGCTTATTCTAACACCAGAGCAACAATTTTTATTAGTACATGGATTGTTCGAACAATGTTGGAGACCGGGAAAACCAGTCAAATAACAACAAAAATGAGGAGATACAACTTGGCAGTACTCGTAATCAGCGAAACCCATTGCACCCGAACTGAACAGATAAGGATCGATTTAGGAAAGATGATGTTATACTCTGGCCATGAAGAAGTAAATTCTCTGCACACTCAGAGAGTTGCTTTGATGCTATCCAAAGAAGCACGAAAGCACTTGAAGGGTGGAAATCTCACGGATCCAGGATCATCAAAGCATAGAAGCAAGTAAAGAAGAGCATTAGAGCCGATATACAGAAATACGTGGAAGAGCTAGTAGCAGAAGAAGTTGCAAGAGAAGCAAATATGAAACAACTATATGACACGATGAACAAACTGACAGGAAGATATAGTAAACCAGAGAGACCGGTCAAGAACAAAGAAGGTGAGCCAGTCACTGGAATTCAAGAACAGAGGAATAGATGGGTGGAATGCATCGAGGGTATCGAAGCTGCACCTACAGGTATTCCTATAGATGTTTCTCCACCAACAACTAAAGAAATTATGACAATCAGACAAATCAAAAGTTGGAAAGCAGCAGGATCTGACAATATACCAGCCGAAGCACTGGCGTCAGACCTAGAAGTAACTGCAAAGATGCTCCTAGTTCTATTTAGGAAGATTTGGTGGGTGAGACAAATGCCGACGAACGGGAAAGAAGGATACCTCATCAAGATACCAAAGAAAGGAGATCTGAGCGAATGTGAGAACTGCAGATGCATCACACTGCTGATGGTTGACTGGATTATGAAAACCGTGACATCTGAGGGGAAGCACGGGATAAAATGTACAGGTTGTATGCAAATAGACGATTTGAACTTCGCAGATGACCTAGCTCTTCTATGCCATACACACGAACAGATACAGATGAAGACAACTAGTGTATCAGTAGCGTCTGCATCAGTAGGCCTCAACACACACGAGGAAAAAAGCAAGATCCTAAAGCACAACACGGAGAACACCAACCCAGTCACACTTGATGGAGAAACTCCATGAGATGTGGAAAGTTCCACACATCTGGGTAGCATTATCGATGAAGGTTAAGAATACGATGCAGGCGTAAATGTGAGGATTTGTAAAGCGAGGACAACATTCCTACCCTTGAAGAACATATGAAAATCAAAACAACTGTTGACCAATATGAAAGTCAGAATCTTCAATATGAATGTCAAGACAGTTTTACTGTACAGAGCTGAAACTTAGGAGAACTACTACAATCATTACCGAAAAATCATGAATACCGTTATTATATATAAACCAACGGTGTTTGAAATCAGAAGTCAATAAGAAGCTGTGACTACATTTTATTAGGGAATAGCACGAATACTGAATATTTGTTGATCTGATACCATCAGCAACAACCTATTATTGTTGGAGAGAACAAACCAGCTTCCAGTTGAAGAGGATATTTGGAAAAGGCGTTGAAAGTGGATAGTACACACATTGAGAAAATCGCCAGACTACATCTGGAGGCAGGCGCTAACTTGAAATCCTGAAGGAAAGCGGAAAAGAGGAAGGCCAAATAACATATTGTGTCGAAAATCAGAAGCAGACATGAAAAGGATGAACGGCAACTGGAAAGGATTGCTCAGAACTGAGTTGAATGGATAATACTGATGAGTGGCCTATGCTCCTCGAATAGGGATAACAGTCGTAAGTAAGTATTTGAAGTGTATAATGTTGATCATATTTATCACTTCACTGTTTATCTATCGAAACTTTTCACATTTACATTATTATATTTGAGTTATGATATATTATGTATTTATTCAATTCTTCATTTATTGCTTATTTTTCACCTCTGAACGATATTGTGAATGCTACACAAGAATGCCTACTGATCTATTCCGCTAAACAGATTAATTTATCATCTGAATATTGGAGTACTCCAGATATATAGATATATATAACCTTGTTTGTATTTTGTCTCAGGCTGTTGTGAACATGTTAATCTTCAAAGATTTTTTAATTATAAGGAAACTAACCCGTGTAAAACATATATATATATATATATATATATATATATATATATATATATATATATATATATATATATATATATATATATATATATATAATTTCTGTTACAGTAACTTAGTTTGCGCATCGTCCTCTCACTACTGTATCTTCTAATTTCATGCACTCACATTCATTACTGACTTATTATTTTATGTATATACATATTTTCTGTGTAATAAGTAGCATATGATAATATGCATATTAACGTGTCGTAGCTCTACAGATTGTTTTACTCATTTCTATTGTCCTAGTTCTTCTTCTTCTTCGTATAATGTCGACTTTTGACTAGTGATAAAAACCATCGTTCTTTTATTATCGTTAATAAATGAACTGTTAATATTTACATTATTGTCTTTTCAGAGTGACATATTTCTTTCTCTTATTCTAGCTGTTATTCCACTGTGAAAGTATATCATACAGTAGTAATATATATATATATATATATATATATATATATATATATATATATATATATATATATATTGACAATTTAGTATCTACAACATGAGAACTGTATATATAAAATGATCCACTTTCGTCATTGTTATCAAATTGTTCAATTAATGCGTTGACTTAAATTTTACCAGTCATTTTCTTTTGTTTTTCTGTGACTATTTCATCAAGACTAGTATTACCTATTATTATTGTTATTATTATGACTATCACTATGTTTTTCCTTTGCATATAAACAATTTATTTGTTTTTACTTTGATGTGAATTCGATTACTTCAATTTGTTTGTTATATATATGATATATATAGCCATCAGGCTGTTTATATATCCGTAACCATTATTAGTTCATTATCTCCAGGATAACTCCCTAGAGTTTTAACAGTATGAATATAGTCTAGAAAAAAAGCAAAAGAACTTTGTTTTCACTATATTTGGTTTGTTTCATGTGATGGGACAAGAGTTCATTTAGAAAGATGTACAGTGTGTTTATTCTTTTGTTCATAAAATTGATTGCTTTTTACATTTTTCTATCACTGGAATGGTATAAAAATAACAACTGATTATGCTAATTTGTTCACACAGAGACATCGTAGTGGCTTCGAATACACAAAACATAATTGAATAATACTACGACAAGATATGTAATATACATAGTGGTTTTAATTCCAATAGCCTACTTAAGTCTTACGATTATCCATGTTTTTGTGGAACCTTCTAACTGACAGACTGCATTTATGTCGGTCATGCAAATTGTTTTGCTTCGCAGGTTTCTCCTTGATAATATAAATAATCAGTCCCAAAATATTCTTGTGAACAAAAAGTTTTACAAACACTGCGGATCTACCAGATGAGGACACTGTTGTCTACTTTGATTCAGAATTCCATAAACCTTAGAAAAAATGTCTTGGATGCATCAGAAGTGGTGAATAATAGAATGGTTTCGTGAATTAAAACGCCAACATTGATTTATTTGAAAGTTTCATGGCTACGTTGAAACAGGCAGCAGTGTTACATGTACGAAGCGGATATATAACCATAAATTGTTTCGAGAAGACGTCATACGTATTACAACACTGTAATGCATTGGTAGGGAATCATGCTTTATTTGTAGGGGGGAAGGAAATTCCGTTGTGTGTATAAGGTAACCTCCATTGTTTCTACGGAATAATCATCTACAACAAGAAAAACACAGAAACAAAGTAACAAATATTTCTGTGATAGGCTCGTCGTTATACAAAATCCTGATACACTTGTTTATAGACATGAAGAAGATACAGTGCGATAGTTTCGTGGGCTAACCACTCTAAGAAACCTAGATAGAACTTTGCAAATTATGGTGAATTTTATGTTTAGAAGATTATGACGTCTGACGGCATTGTAAGTCTATCTGAACTAAAAAAAAAGTCAGAAGACTGGCGAGGTGAACTTTGAAACTCTAAGGATGATTCTAGTTTGTGCCGCTACTTCACATCTGAACTCGACAATTTATTTTGTGTTTAATAAATTGAAATCGCAGTCGGCTCTTATATCTTCCTAGAAAAGGAATACAATGGGGAGTTACAACATAGGAATGTGCATGCACTGGCATCAAGCTAGTTAGTATTTTTTCTAATTGATAGTTACTTTGCCCCGTGACTAAGTTGAATTGTAAATATAATGCAATAATTTGGGCTCACCAAGTCTTGTCTATCTCGAATTGGACTATTTTTGCAACTATTATTTAGTAAATCAATTCGACTAATCCTAGTTACCATTGCTACTTAATGGATAAATAAGGGAAATCATGCGGAGCGGAACGACATATTTAGACAAAAATGAAAGTTAGCTGAATGGAAGTCTACTAAACCGATCATGGAGAGTAAAAAATACGTCTGACTTATGATTTTCTGAAACATAACTACGATGCTTGCGTGACCCCCTTCAGTAACTAGTATTTTTTCAGAAAGTA